AATGTAAAAGTAGAAACGAAAATATTATCAAATGCCACTGGATTGTTGTCAAGAAACACCAATAAAAACGATTACTCTAGCAATATAAAAGAGCACCATAAAAACTTAATGATCAACAGTATTTAAGCAGCATGCCACTGAGTATCTAACAGGGTGCCCATGTTTTATAGACAGCATTTATGGACTTTCACAATCCAAATTTTCACTCTTTATGAGTGGTGTATAAATTTGGGAAGTGGTTAAAACCACATTTCAAATCAAAACCGCCTATGAGGCACTCTGCCAAATAAGTGTAAATATCCTCGGGAAATCTCACATCTAAGAGCTTGGTGGAAGTGGATCTAGCTTTCGGAGAGATAAAAATATTATGGATGGTTGGTTACCTTAGGCCTTAGGCAAACATTTTTCTGGGGAACATAAATAATTTCTTCAACTCCAGAAACAGGGGCAGAATATTTCACTTTCTTACACATAATTATCATTCCAGGAAATATACATTTTGCATCTCTTTTTTTTTTGCTAGTAATTTAGCCGTAGAGACACACATTATATAAAAATTTATTTATGGCCTGTATCAAGCTGCAAGAAGCACCGTCTCATTCTTATTGTGTCCCACAATGCCTTGGCACAGAGAAGCACTCCATACCTATTTGCAGAATTTGCGTTAAAATTACTACTGTGATTGTTTCCAACGCCTCTCCCTGAATTCCATCCCACTCTCACTACCAAGTGAGAACTCTTTTAAGATCAGCAACCATATCATATCCATCGTTGTGATAATGTCTAGCACAGTAGAAAGTTAATATAAATGGAAAGAAAAAAAGAAGGAAGGAAGAAAGGGAGAGGAAAAAAAAAAGAGAGGGAAGGATAAACGAAGCACACAAGGGAGGAGAAAGGGAGGTAGGGAGACACTAAGTTAATTTTTCTAGCCAGAGAAGGGCAAATAAAACTCCCTTCTTTCCCAGATTTTTATTAATGACCCCAATTCAAGACAGGTAATGAGACCATGAGAAGAAAATGCAGCCAAGATCAACCTACAGAAAATCTAGGGTAACTCAGAGTTACACTTCCTACTAGTATCAGTCAAGTAACCTGTGGCAGCCACCCCATCAACATGTCTGATTTCTAGCCACCTGGATGTGTTACCTTGGTAATACTATGTCATGGAATATGGCCACAGCAGAAATTTCAGAGTCCTCCACTGGGGAAAATCAGTAGGGTATCAAGGAGAAGAAGAGACATAGTAGAGAATGTCTTCACTGACAGCCCAGTGGGCACAGGAATACTGTCCAGGAGGAGACAGCAATGGCACAGTCATTAAAGGAGCCTTGCCAGTTCTCTCCGCATGGCTGAAGGAAGGCAGTGGCCTAGAGAGTCTTTCAACACTTATCTTCCTACAAAGGAATCATCATCAGAAACACACTGAAATCTTTTGATCATAGGTATGTCGAGAGATGGGCAGGCAGGCTGGCAAAGCAAGGAGAGGGAGGCATATTTGGAGGATTTAAAAAAAACAACTCCAAAAGTCCTAATGCAAATGGCATCCACCTATAACAGTCCCATAAATGGTAAATTAAGTAAAATAAACAACATGTTTATAATTTACAAAGCATTTCCATATGTATTAAAGCAGTGCTCAGATTTGGGACAAAATTTTTGACCCTCTTAACTGACAGAAATTGTCCTGAATTCTCTCTTTTGACTTATTCTGCCCTAACACTGCTCTACCTTTTCAGATGATCCCTCCAGGCAGTTATAGAATCCTAAAGCAACCCAAGGTAAGCATCCATTTCCACACAGTAGAGCCCAGTTGGAAATACTGTTATTTTAACCCAGATTTTAAATCCGGGTTAAATATATCCAATGTGAGATAGAGGAAAATGCCCTACAGGGCCCCTGGGAATTTGGGCCAGAGATGCTGTAATAGATCTTGTCACCTTTAGTTTCTGTGATTCTGTAAAATTCACCATATCCAGGTAATTTGTGCTTGTCACATACAGCAGACAAGGCTAATAGATCCATCAGTCCAGAAAGAAACTACAAGCAGCATTTCAGGACCTAACTCAGAGGACAATATGTAGCCAAAGCTCAGAAACAATGTAAAATAAATGGCCTGTTGTGATTACCTTCAATTTGAACTTGACCTACACCCTTCCATTACCTTTCAATGCACATAATAAAATCAGACTAATTGAGGTGTTTTTCAATGGAATTTGTAAAATGTGGGACAGAGCACACAAAGTTTGCAGGAGGACTATATGAATGAGTGAACAAGTCATCTATGAATTAAGTCAAGTCAATTTTCATTCATTTTATATTTGACATTTATTGAGTGTGTAGCACATAAAATACTTTATTCATTTGGATTATCATAAGTTGAAAAGTAATAAAACTAAATGTTCTTAAAAATATATTGTACTTTAAACTTTTCATTCATTCAAGCAGTCTGCTTTTCTATTAAACCACAACATGACTGTACACCTAAAATCACATCATGTCTTTCAGTCTGTGCTCACAACTATAGAAGTCCCAGTTAAAAAATATGGTCTAGAGGATGACGGGCTAGCTCAGTTGGTTAGAACTTGGTGCTGATCACACCAAGGTTGCCGGTTCGATCCTGCATGAGCCACTGTAAGCTGTGCCCTCTTTAAAAGAGTGAACTATGCCATTGTAGCATGAAAACAATGTGTAACCAATGACCATGTGTATTCCCCAATAAAAAAAAGAAATGAAAAAAACAATGCTCAGGCTGGCCAAGTGGCTCAGCATGAGCTCTGAGCAACAGGGTCGCCGGTTCGATTCCCACATGGGCCAGTGAGCTAGGCCAGAGCTGAGCTGCCACTGAGCTGCCGACAGGTGACAGGATGGCTCAGCTGGTGAGAGCACATGCTCCTAAAAACAGGGTTGCCGGTTGGACTCCCGCATGGGATAGAAGGCTATGCCCACCTGCAACTAAAATTGAAAACGGCACCTTAAGCTGAGAGGCCGCAAGCTGCCAACGAGCAGCCGGATGGCAACTGGACTTGGAGCTGAGCTAGCTGTGTCCTCCACAGCTAAGATTGAAGGACAACAACTTGGCTGTTCCCCTTCCTCAATCCCCCAATAAAATCTTAAAAAAAAATGGTCTAAGCAATGTCGAACATTTCTTATATTTTAAAAACATGATTAGGCTGGCTGAGCGGCTCAGTTGGTTAAGAGCTCACTCAAGAGTGCAAGCTCTGAACAAAAGTGTCGCCAGTTCAATTCCTGGCCCCAGCTGAGCTGCCACTGAGCTGCCAACAAGTGGCAGAATGGCTCAGCTAAAATAAATAAATACATAAGTAAATAAATAAATAAATGATTAATTTATAAGATTTATGAAAATGACATAATAGGTAGTCTGTCATATGCAAAGTGATTTCCAGCCATCTTATCTGAGGCTAGAATATTCAACCTAAAGAAAAGTCATTAACGATATTTGTTTTGTTGAGTAAATTAAAATCAACACCCCATTCTTTATAACATGCCTTACCTTTTCCAGGAAAAACTTCTTCTTAACCCCAAGGCCTGGCCCTGGGGCAGGTATATAGTTAGAATAAAGATTTAAAATGAGTCACTGATAGAAAGGTGTGTGATTTTGGGGGAGCTAGAGAATGCTAACAACAATAATAATATAATCTAGCTTTTTCCTCACAGAATTTGGGGTAACATGAAAGAGATAGGCCTGAAAATATCTAGAATAATCACTTGCCATTCTCTAGTATCTAGTTTGGAAAAATGGAAATGAAGGCTCATGTCCAATAATTACTTTGTCAATCTAGGATTGGTCAGATGCCAAAACATTTTCCAGAGCATCCTTATGCAGTGGGTCCTTTCCCAAGGGCACAGTGTGGTCCAGTCCAAATTTGGGTCCTTGGACACATCATGGGTTAAGTCCATGAAGTTCTAAAGGATTAAACCCAATCTTTCAAACTGGCACAGAAGCAACCTTATCTTTAAGGTCTTTGGGGCTGAAAGGCATTCATGGGTCATATGAGGCTGGGGAAAGACTCAGCAAACTGTTTGCCTCCCTCAGAACTATGGATGAGTGGGGTGGGGAAAGAGTCTAGTCTCCAGAGGTAAAGGTCTGTTGACTTTATCTTGCTCTGGGGATGCTCCCTTTCAATTCTGCACAGGCTCTTTGGTCAATAATAGTGAAAACACTCCAATTTGCAAGAACTCCAAACTAAAGAGCCTCCAGAGCCTTTCTGTAATCAGTCAATTTTCAGTTATTTATGCATATGGTAAGAAGTAGCATCTTTAATAATAAAATGATAATTTATGTTTGATTTCACAATATGTTCTATATTTGGGGTTTTTCTTTTGTTTTTGGCAACTTCAACAGACTTATTTTCCTAATTAGTTTGACCCCGACTAATGTTACAATTAACATTCTCTGAGTATACACACACATACGCACACTACTCACCAATTTGATGGTGGGGAGAAGGCCCAGTAACATATTGTCAGATAAGGGAAAGGTGGTCTGAGATTATGTTTTTGCTGCCGGCAATTCACAAACTAGATCATCTGAATCAATAAGGAGTTGGCTGTATTCATAACAGGCACTTCTTAGAGCCAAATCATCACATTCGCTAATTCCCATCCAGAAAATGGCCTCAGAAATTACTTACTAAACTAAGTCTAACCAGCACACAAAATATTTTTTTTGAAACCAGGATTACCTAGTTTTAGTGTTTATGCCAATCCAATTAACAAGATAATTGCCAGGTCTCTCTAGTACTGGCGGCTACACAGACCTGCCTGAGTTTTCTCTTGGGCTTGGAGATACGTGGGGCTATAACTGGCCAGAGTTAGTTCTTAGTCTTGTCACTTTGGGGAATTAAGCACAGCTTTCCTTGATTTCCTAAAAATGCCTTCTAGACCTTTCCCCTCTCCCTGAATGGCCCAAGACGCCTGGCCTTCCCAATAGGCTCCAATGGGCTACCCATCCATGGCCTCCGACCCTCACCGCAGCTCACCTAGCTTCTCCTCGGCTTGGCTGCTCTCTGAAGTCTCCGTTGGAGGCTGGGCTGTTCCCTTGGTGGCAGCATCCTCTGCAGCAGGGGTAGTGGCAGCAGCAGCAGCAGCAGCAGTGACAGCAGCAGGCACGTCGGCTTGTTTAGGCTCCTCCTTGGCTGGGGCGTCTTCCGCCTTAGAGGACAGCGAGTTGTCAGTGGAAGCTTTAGTGGCACTTTCTGTCTCAGCAGAGCCGGCCTTCTCCTCTGAGGGGGCAGGAGCCTGGGGGGCTGCCTGCTCTGCAGCAGCATCAGGGGTGTTCTCCCCTTTCTTCTCCTCTGAAGGAGTGTCTCCTGCTTTGCCGGCCTCCTCAGACTTGGGGCCAGTGGCTGGGGCTGCTTCAGTGGTGGCGGGGCCTTCTCCCCCCTTCTTCTCCACGCCATCAGCAACAGGGGTTTCATCCTTCTTCTCACTCACTTCAGCCTCGGCAGCGTGGGCATCACCCTTCTTCTCTCCTTTGAGCTTTTTCCTTGTTATGTGTCCGCGGAAGCTAGCCTGAATTTTGGTCGCGGCCTTATGGGCTTTATCTTCTGGTTTGATGCCATCTTGTTCGATCTTTTGGTCCTCATCATTTTTTTCAACCTTTGTGGAGAAAGTAGGGGGAAAAGGAGAGATGGAGTGATGTTTTTCCCCTGCAAATCACAGCATTCAACAAATATTTATCAAATGATTTATTCTACGCCAGGTACAAAAATCAGCAATACTGTAGAAATTCAAATCAAGCCTCCTCTGTCTCCATGGTAGGGGTCTGAATAGAGAACACACTATTTTTATGGGAAAACTCACGTCCTTTCGGCCCTCCAGAATCGCTGGCATTATTTGATATGTATTTCTTTCCCCAGCTCAATGTCTCTCCATTGCAAACTTAAACCAGCCTTTCTGTAGATGCGCTTTGATAATTCAAATCACATTCACCCTAGGTTTTAATCAAACAGCTCTGAAAGATAATGCCTTTTTAGGGTTTCTGAGTGGGACTCGGTTCAAACTTCATGATTTAAAAAAGTATTATGGAAAAGTCTGATTATTTTACACAAGATTTCAGCCCTGCTTATGAAATCAATAGATCTGCGGCAAACAGTATTGTAAAGGTTTAGACAACAAATTCTATCAGGGTTTTATGCAAATGCAAATGAATTTCAGGACTTTGAGGGTTTTGTCTGGAATGTGGTAACTCAGAATGCTGGTCACAAAATGATGTCTAATTTCCCCTGTGTATAAAAAAAAACCTGAATTTAAAAAAAGAATAGAAAACACTGTTTCCACTTTTGAAAGAGCAGCATATATTTACCAAACCCCAATTTCTTATTCCCAAAGCAATTTAAACCTAAAATTAGTTCTATATTATTATCTATAGAGCCACCCTAGTACTGAAAGCAAGAGACTAGAATACAAAATTTTTACCATTTGGTTGTAATATTTAAAATATTTACAACATGCTGTAAATAATTTTTTTCCACAAGGAAATTAAATCAGAAGATAGGAATAGAAGGTATAGTTATGGAAAGAAACATATAGGCAAGTACATAAAATTCTATATCACTCCATTGCTCACCATGGTTCCCCAATGTGGTTACTGATAGTCTCCATTCATTCCTTCCTTCAACTTTGGAGCACATAACTTTTCTTCACTTTTGTGAACATTGTTCTAAACAATGGGGAAATACAGCAGTGAACAATGCAGCAACTTTCCTTCAAAAGACCAATAATAAAAAGAGTGCTTCTCATGTCACAAGTCCTGTGCTTGGCCCTCATCTTAACCTTGGCCTGACCTTCGCCTTTGCTCCAGTTTAGGAGGTAAGCCACAGCAGGCCAACACAATGGTATGCTTTCCACCTGTCATACCAGCTCTGCCCCAGTGACCTAGATCCAGCTCATCATGATGCAGGCCTGTCTGACATAATTTGGACAAGCACATGAACCTCCTGTTATGTAGGTCCATCAACATACTAAGGGATCTGCAAAGTCACTTTTGAAAATAAGCTACATGTGAGAATAAAAAAGCAGGACTGACAATTTTCCAATAAAATTTAAGAAAAGTTTTCCTTCTTCCTCAGTTAACTGTGCATGTCTCCATACAAAGGAAGGAGTGGGTGAAAAGCACTTTGCAGAGGCCCCGCCTGCTCTCTGCTCTGGGCGCCATGCTGCCTCACTGCTGAGTTCTCTGATGCACCCCCACCTTCTCGCTGTCCTGCTGCTCTTCATGGTTCCTACTGGGACACACACAGCACAATCTGAGGTACAGGAGCAGCTGTCCCTGCCAGGAGCTCTCTGCTCAGAGATGGACGCATAACCCTGTTAAATTAACAGTTGTGAATGGAGCATGGAGCCAAGATGTGGTTAATTTATTTTACTCTAGCTTGAATTTTCTGAATGAGGCACCATCTTATGTGACAGGACATCTGCACTTGGGTGTTGATGCCAAGTGGTTCTTTAATACAAATACTGCTCCTTGGGGAATAGACAAACCAGTTACTTCAGAGTGGGCAGGTGTGCAGAAAAGACCCTCTGATGACTCAAGAAAGCTATAACTTTAGACCCCCCCCCCTTATAAGAACATAAAGCAAAGCTGATGAAACTCTTAGAAAGATGGAAAACATAAAAAGAAGGAAGCTGAGAATCTGCATGGGATAGAGAAACGTTATATGGATAAAGGAAGAGCTCCTCTTAATTCTCCCCTCACTGCCTCATTTTCTCAGATCATCTGCTGCTTTACTTTCCAAATGATCAGGACTTAAGTTTCTGTACCCAGCATTTAGGCTAACATGACTATTTTAAAAGGCTCAGGCTAGACTTGGGTGCCAAGATTGTTGCACCAGGCTTACCTGAACAATCCAAGAGTATAAGGGACAAAAGAGAGGAAGGCGTGGGCAGGAAGGGAAAAAACTATGAAAGAGCAGAGTCAGGAGTGAGAGGGGAAGGTGATCCTGGAAGAGCGAGGTACCCAGATGGGTGGATATACCCAGAGAAGGGATCAAAGTACTCCTTGGGATTGTAGCTCATCCTGGAGGGATGGCTGGACCACTTAAAACATTAGAGATTTAGGGAAACTGGATTCTAGAGATTGGTTGAAAAAAGACAACTTTTACGCATTTTTTAGATAGTCAGAGGGACAGAGACAGAGAGAGAAGGTGAAGGGAAAGGAGGAAAAAGGGGATGAGAAGGGAGGGAGAAGGGTAAGGAAGAGAAGAAACCAGCCTAAGATGACGCCAGACTTAAGTGGTTGAACAGAGGCATCCAGGCACAAAAAAATTTAAGGAAAGCCTGGGTCTTAAGCTAGAGAGTGCCAGAGTGTGTGCGTGTGTGCGTGTGCATGTGCGCGCGTGCGTGTGTGCATGTGTGCATGTGTGCGCATGTGTGTGCATGTGCGTGTGTGTGTGTGTGTGTGTGTGTGTTTCTTTCATACCTCTAATTGATTCTATTAATATGGTTCAAACTACGGGTTATTTTCTGGCATAATTATTTTCACAGTACTAGAGGTAATTGGACTGGAAGTGTATTTTTTTTGAGAGACGAGACAAGGAGGAAGACGTTTCCCTAGACTGGGTTCCAGACAGCTAACCCCAAGATGTCAGGCCACATAGACTTTTTCCCAGCTAGAATTAGAAGAGTTTACCTAAGACAAAGGATGTTTGAACCCAGGGAAACCAGAGCCATCAGTATGCTCAGCACAACCCTTTCAGTTTCTAAAAGAAAAAGCCATGGTGGCCTGGAAAAGTGACTTGCCAAAATTCATAGAATGAGTGAATGAGTCAGAGGCTCAACTTGTATTAGAACTCAGGCCCTCTCCCCTCCCATCCCCATCCCAAGTCCAATTTTATTGGAGTCACTTGGTCTTTCTTGTAGCAGACAATCCATAAAGCATCCTGTCCACATTCTTATTCATCTATTCATTTAACGATGCTGAGTGTCTGTGCTAGGCACTCTAGGCACTCTAGTGAGCATGGATACTACATCTACCCACACAGGATACACAAGGTTCTTTTTTAAATATGCTTTTAAAAAGTAACCTCATGGTACTTTAACAATCAGCAACTTACCAGGAACTCAGAGTAGACACCTGATCTTATAACCATCCAGTAGAGTAAGGCAAATAGATTAAATACGTGAGTTATATAAGGAGGAGAGCCATAAAAAATAGATCCTGGTATTTAGTGGCTAAAAGGTCAGTCCATAAGTTTCATTAAAATAGATTTATTTTTTAAACTTAGCCTTGCCACCAACAAGCTTTGGGCTGAGCTCTACCGTTTTCTGAGGGAATTTCCCATTTCTTTCATTTGTACATGGGGTTGCTGCTGTCTGTGAATTCAGTGGAGGACACTCCAGTGCAGGGTATTATATGTAGAAAGAGTATCATTACGAGTTGCAATCACTTTCTCAGGAATCTTCATTGCTGTAGCTTAGTATTTTTACTGACCAATACATTTCGGAGCTCTGTAATTTATGAAGTCTTAAAGGAAACTATGGTATGTGAAATCTTTACTTTTCAACCAAGGCTAAAATCTTGGATGAATATTAGTCTGAAGAAAATGAAGGGTATCATTACATTAATTCATTGAGATCTAGTCAAATTTCTAAATCCATTAGATGAAAGAGCTATAATTTTCATCAGTATTTAAGAATCATAGATAAGAAAGCCAAAAATAAGAAGTGGCTATTTAAGGGGCAGCCAGTTAGCTCAGGTGGTTAGATCACAGGCTCATAACACCAAGGTTGCCGGTTCGATTCCCACATGGGCTAATGAGCTGCACCCTCCACAACTAGATTGAAGACAACTACTTGACTTGCAGCTGATGGGTCCTTGAAAAACACACTGTTCCCAAATTAAAAAAAAAAAAAATGAAGTAGTTATTTAATACCCAACATTGTTGCTCTGGTGAATAGTTTCCTTCCCCTTTGAGGGAAGGGGTAGATTCATTTTAAGATGTCTAAACATTTTCATTCTTTATGTTACCAAAGAACTTTGGGCAAAAATCCACGAATGCCTGACTTTTAGAACTAAAATAACACCATCTATTCAACTGGGACACCCCACTTCATTTAACATTTTCCAATTATTATAGGAATACCTCAACCTTCTGAGCACAGAAAAACTTTGCCCTGTATCTACTTCTGCCAGTTATAAATACTACTATTATAATACTTCACATTTTCTCTTAAGCAGGATTGAATTTTAAATGTTTTAAAAATCATTGATGTACACCAATTCCTCTTTCTGAGAATATCTTTAGTAAACCAAAAGATTTAAATTTGACTGAACACAAGATATTTCCATGAAGCAAAGTTGAAAGGCCAGAGATATCCTAAGCAAAGCTTTCCTTAACACACTATAGTTTTCATGCCTATCACAATCTTATGCAGCCCTCAAAGGAAGCAGAATAAAGTGCTTGTGGATATACATGAAATCAGGATATCTATTTATTACTCAGTCTGTTTTTTATTAATAATTTATTGAGGTGAAATTCATATCAGAAAAGTTCACTCTATTTTTAAGCATAATTGATAGCATATACTTTAGAGAAAATGTCCAAATATTAAAGGAGTTTACAATGGAGCTTCTGTGCTTTCTTTGAATCTAGTCAAAGATCAGAAACCCAGTGAAATGCCCCTTATGGAGGAGAGAGAGGAGGATGGGCCAACCTTCTCCAGTTCTGTAGATGAATTGCCTTCATGCTTCTGGGAGTAGTAGGGAAGAAGTGGCCATTTAAAAGATGAATGCGCACTGCTGGAATACATGGGGTTCCCTCGCGCTCAGTCTATTTTAAAGATCTAACTACAATGGTGAGGGGGTGGGGTGTAGGAAGCAATGAAACTGCTGTGCTTTTGCCAAGAATTGTCATTACTTTTTTAAATTCTGATTTTCAGTCCAGTGAAAAGTCCTTTTTTAGTTCCCAGGCATGTGGGAGCACAAATATATGATGACTAAGCAATTCTCCAGGGGAATGTGAGACATCAAGAGTGATCTTGCAAATTCTGGCAGAATGGTAGTAAGGGAACTTGGTTTTCCCCTTCAGCTGCAGCTCCAGAGTTCTGATAAGCGGGAAAGAAATGTTCATGGGTTGACTTACTATATAAGAGAACCAAATACCCTATATTGAAAATTGGAATAGTATGATTAGCTTTTTAAATAATAGCTAGTGATCAAGACATAGGTCTTCAGTTTATGTTGATATATTATTTATTTAACATGTATAGCCCACCTGCTTCCAAAAGAATATGACGTGGCATATTCAACACACTATAAAGTACTATTGGAGAATTCATTTTCCATTCAAAAGAGTTATCTTTTATTTTATTTTGTATATTTGTAACTCTATTTGTCCCACAGACAGATAGAGAAGAAGCAAAGGGTATATTATAATTTGCACCTTCTAACAGACAAAAGTCAGCATTGGAAAGACCTTGTCTGTTTTGTTCACAACTGAATCTTCAGTTTCTCGAATGGTGTCTGGCACATAATAGATGTTCATTAATATTTGTTTAACAAATCCAAATTTTAACACCTCAATTAGTGTCATTTTAGAAAAATGATTATAGGCAAAGAAGTCTGAGATTCCATTTTGTCAACTTTTGTTGAAGTCCTTTATTTTCCAGTGATGGACTTCAAGAATATCTGACTAAGACAAATGTATGTTTCCTCAACACCTA